ATATGTTTTATGTACTGGTTTTATTTTAGAAAGAACTGAAAAAAAAAAAACTATAGCTCAGCAATATACTCTTTTGTAGAAATGTAGTTGCTATTCCTTTGATTCTTCCCAAATCAAACTTCCCAACTTCCTGCATACACTCTGAAGTTATGGCATCATCCACAAGGCCAGGGAATATTTTGAACCAAGAAAAGGAAGTTAGTATGTTGGATAGCCTCTTCTTTAATCTTTTATATTCAAAGTACTTTCTCCACAGGCCTGGGCTCTTTTATTTCTGAATCCTATAGACTGAGAATGTGATTTCTAATTATTATTCATTTTGACAATGTTGTTTCATCAAAGCAGGTTGGATAGTGTATGTAGTTTATTATGAAATTATTTTACTTGCCTCTGGCAAGTAACTGGTTTATCATTGGCATTAATATTCATTCTTCCCTCTCATCAGTTTCACAGAACCTTCTTTGTTGTTGTTTTATGAGTGTGTTAAGTATTTTTAAATAGTATTTAAAATTTAATTTTAATTAAATAATTTCAAAATTTGAAATTCTAATTTTATTTTAAAAGTTATTGTGCTTTATCCTGCATCAAAGACAATATTGACTTTCAGCTCAACAGATACCTAAAAATATTCTAAAATTACTTTTCTTGAGTTACCAGAAAATAGCACTTTAATAATAAAAGCAAACACATCCCCCCTTTATGATTTATTCTTAATCTGATATGAGTTATACCTCACTGGTAAGCTTTCTTGTATCATCACTAAGTCACTAATCACTTAATAAGAGACCATCTAAATGTTATGTCTTTGAGCAAGCATTGAATTCTTGGATTTGGGGGGTTTGTTCATAGACTGTGGTCTGTGTAGGCCTATAAGGGCATATCAAATCCTGTCTTCAGAGTATCATGAAAACTAAGATGATAAATATTATTTAATCTTCAAATTGGCCTGCTAATTTCACCACATTTCATCAACTGCAACCTGTATTATATCTTATATGTGCTTTATATCAGTGACAAGGAAATGAGAAAATCCTAATGGAATATTTGTTTCTAACAGCTGTTTCTTCGGGTGGCTAGACGGACATGCCATTTCTTCATTCACATGAATTTAAAAGATTACATAAAAGGACTTTCTTAGGCTAGAGTAGACCCATACCTTTTATTTAACTGGGAAAGATGATGTCGAAATAACACTTCGCATCACTCACTCTCATTAGAATGTTATGGCCTTCAGGCAGGAGTATTTGTCTTTGTCAGCTGCCAGCACTTAGAATAGTGATTGCCACGTAGTAGATGCCCAGTCAATTCTTGAATAAAGAAATAAAGTAATACTTGTACCTTGATGTTGTTGAGATGGACTGATAAAAGGGCCAATATGTTGTAGCTACACAGTAAATATTTGTAGAACAAATAAGTGGACCAACTTACCCCATTTCTGAGAAATGGCTGACTAGATTTAATTATTTTATGGAAGGTATAACAGGGAACATTCTGGATTTCCTAATTTGTTGAGAAAAAAGTAATATTGTCTTCTCGTATATTTAGTATTCTTGTGTCAAGAGTACTGAGGTTCTAAATTTTGTTAAAAATGTAAATACAACACCAAATGCTAGTGAGGGTATGGAGCCATGGAAACTCTCATACATTGCTGGTAGGAATGCAAAACAGCCATGTTGGAAGGCAGTGTGGCAGTTTATTACAAAACTAAACATATTTTTTCATATGATGATCCAGCAGTTGTGCTTTTTGGTATTTATCCAAATGGAGTTGAAAACTTATGTCCACACAGAAACCTGCACAGGAATGTTTATAGCAGTTTATTTATAATTGCCAAAACTTGGAAGCAACCAAGATGTTTTTTTCAGTAGGTAAGTGGATAAATGCACTGTGATACATCTAGATAATGTAATAATATTAACCACTAAAAAGAAATGAGCTATCAATCCATGAAAAGACATGGAGAAACCTTAAATGCATATTACTAAGTGAAAGAAGCCAATCTGAAAAGACTACATGCTGTATGATTTCAACTATAAGATATTCTGGAAAAGGCAAAACTGTAGAGAAAGAGTTGTGGTTGCTAGAAGTGAGATGCAGGGAGAGATGCATAGGGATAGCACAGAGGATTTTTAGGGCACTGAAAATACTCTGTATGATACTTAAATGATGGATACATGTTGTTATACATTTGTCCAAACCCATAGAATATACAACACCAAGGTAACATCAAGTGAACCCTAAGGTAAATTATGAACTTTGGGTGATTATGATGTATCAGTGTAGGCTCATCCTTGCTAAAAATATACCATTCTAGTGAGTGATATTGATAATGGGGGAGTTATACATGTATAGGGGCAGGTAGTATGTAAGAGTTCTTTGTACCTCCCTCTAAATTTTGTTAAAAACCTAAAACTGCTAAAAAAAAAAAAGTATCTAAAAATGTAAATACTGTTATTTCTCATTTTATTGTATGTTGATTTCAGTACTTTTAGCTGAGGGAAATCTTTTAAAGCGTGCAGAATTTTGAAATTATAAAGATTTGTCTTGCCAAGTAGCCAGAAAATCATACCAGAAAGTTTGATAAGAGCCTGCTGTTAGAACACATTAAATTATCTTCATCTTAATGCTAGGTGTTTGGGGAGGTACTTGAATTTATTTCCTTTGTTTACACTTAAAGTTTTCATAGATTTGATAGATAAGGATAAATCTACTATTTAAAGAACAAGAAAAGACCACCAAAAAAAGATCCTTGAGATTCTTGAGTTCTATAGCATCTATGTCAGATTCCTAACCCTTTAACTATGCTGAAAATTGACAACTGGGCTGCAAGGTACCTTTTCCACACTTACTGTGGGGTATGCTAAACTATGACCATTGTGAGCAAAGAAAACAATCAAAAGAAACTCTTTATAAAGATTTATTAAAGAAAGTGTGGTGATCCTCTTTCATTGACTGTGGTTACTTAAGTAGACCCCGCTGATATATATGTTAGTAATGGCTGCTTAATTTAAGGAAGAGTTGAAGGTAACCTTGAAAAAGAAATAGTGGTTGAATTAATCAACAAGAACTAAAGCCACCTTCAGTATTTATATGCAAAGGTTTTAAAAAGGTCATTCTATGGTAGAACACTGTCAATAGTGGTGTTTTTGTGGTGTTTTATTATCATGGCTTTTTTTAGCATTTTTTTCCTAATTTTGAATTTATATGAGGGTCGAATTCTTATTTTAATTAAAAATGGTATAAGTCATCCTTTTTGCATGAACTTCTACTGTACTCTAAGGTGAATTTTTGCTGCTTCATCTTTAGTAGCTCTTTCATGTATTGAATTAAGCCTGGAAGGTTGTCTTTTGAATGTTCAATTGTGAGGTGCATTTGAAACGGCTTCTATTTTATAAGCCTTTTGCAGAACTTTCAAGCTCTACTTAGATAATAATATGCATTGAATTAAAATGAAAAACCTGACATATCTAGAGAAAGTTTGTTTTTCTATGTGCCTTTTGTAACCTCTACAGTGAATTTCATCCTAGCCAGTGTTCGAGACTAGAAAATAGGGAAGCTGTGAAAATCTGTGCCTTATAAGAAGGCAGGGACATGACTGAGTCATAGTCATGACTCATATAACTGAGTGGTAAGACTAAGGCTGGATGGATCAAATAAAAGCTTGGGGAACATGCCATATTGTTTTTTATTCTTTTCTGATTAATGTCAATTTCAGTTACTCAGCTTTAGGACTGATGATTGATTAGCCTTCCATCTCCCCCTAAAGAGAATAAAGTTGAGGTTACAATCTAAGGTATGAGTTGGTAGTGATTTTTAAAAATCTTTGGGTATGTGCCTATGTTATACCTCAAATACCTTAACCATAGGTTAGCATATAACCCTGGGTTATAATACGTTAAAGATAGATTTTAGCCTGGTCATTTAGGGGGTTATTTGTTGTTTTTTACTGTATTTGATCTGTTTGTCATTTTCGTGAAAGCAAATTTAATACGAAATGTAAAATTTTACACATTTTCTCCCTTGGGACATTGACTAATGGCCTGGATGAAACAAAGTAGAATTTTAATCATGTACTCTGTTTCTCCCTGCTACTCAGTCAGCTTTTGGCTAATTTTAACAACTTGCTTGGTAAAATAATAATGATAATAATAATATTAACCAAAACAAAACCCAAAAGGTGAAGATGTAGTAAAAGAAATATTTTTAGGTATATCCATTATATTATTCATTCAGGGAAGGTACTAGGTATTTGACGATAGAGCTAGCATCAAAAACAATAACATATGTAATGAGTCCTGTTGAATATTTATAGTTTACTTTTATGAAATTATTTTAATTAAACAATTTAAGCATTTCGCCCCTCAGGCTTTCCAGAGGATGTGATTTGTCCAGTGTTTATTCTGCTTTTTCAAAACAAAATATCTAGATTTCCAGATGCCTTACTAATTTTATATAAGGTTGAACAAAGTTCTCTTTCTCTCAGTATTAATTTGCCAATTATTTCCCATCAGCGTTATCTATATCAGTTGTAAACCTGGGGTGGTTTTACTTCTCAAGTAACATTTGAAAGTGCCTAGAGACATTGTTAATTTATACAACTTGGGAGCTGTTAGGCATGTAGTTTGTAGGGGCCAGGGAGGCTATAAGGCTAAATGTTCTATAATGCGCAGAGCAGCCCCCTCTCCAGCAAAGGCTTATCTGGCCCGAAATATTGATAATGCCTCAGTTGATAAAGTCTCATGAATATGACTTTATCTTTAAAGTTAGGGGAATAAAGGCATCACCAGTAAATTCAGCATCCATGTTTATTCTGCCGTGACACTGTTTAGCCATTGACTTACTATGAAAAAGATTTGAAGCGGCTTATTATGAAGGAGTTGTTCCTCAAAGGTTATTCAGTAATAGGAAGTTAATCAGTTTGTCTCTGCACTTTTTAAGTTACAGAAGTTGCTTTACTTCTCGTGTCTGAGTTCATGCAATTCTTTCTTTGTTTTTTTAAGCACTTAAATATTCCACTGTTACGAAGGAGAAGACCATTCTTTTATTTGTTGCTGGACTAGTGCTGACTATAGTTATGATTGTTGGAGCCATTCTTTTCATCCCAGGTAAGATGTACAGTTACTATGAGGGAAGGCAAGATTGATAAGGTTGAGGACATTTCAGGGTGGTGAGAGATGCTTATTAGTTTCCTAGGGCTACTGTAGAAATTACCACAAACTGGGTGTCTTACAACAATAGCAATTCTCTTATAGTTCTGTAGGCCGTAAGTCTGAAATAACAATGTCATCAGGACCACACTCCCTCATGAGACTAAGGGAGAGTCCATTCCTTGCCTCTTCTAGTTTCTGGTGTTTGCTAGCAATCTTGCAACTCCTTCGTTCGTGGCAGCATAGCTCTAGAATTTCCTCTGTATTAAATCTCCCTCTACCCCTCTCTCCTAGAGACACTTATCATTGGATTTAGGGCCCACCTGGTTAATTAAGGATAAGCTCCTTCTTTCAAGATCTTTAATCATATATTTTGACATATAGTGCTCACTCTTTGGCCATGTAAATTAATAGTCATATGTTCCAAAGATTAGGAGGTAGACATATCTTTAGGGCCACCATTCAACCCACTACAGAGGCAAACCTCATTGGCCAAGACAGGGGAATGGGAATAAATGTGGGAAACAAATAGATCAGAAACAGCATTTCCATTTAGAGGATAGGAGTGTGAATGGGAAATAAGGATATGCAGCACATGGAAAGAATAACAAAGTTAGGCTAGGACTCAAAGCATGGACTGTAGAAAGCCATTGTTTTTTGAGTGGAAACAGTATGGGTGTAATGTTCAGGAACATAAATTTGGCAGCTCTGTTTGTAGCTGGAGTTAGGACATGAGGAAGAAGGACAGCTGGAAAGAATAACTCTTGACTTTGGGACAGAATAAATACAACAAATGAAGGGATTGACAAGAGAGACTCCATAGTTTCTCACTGGAATTCTGCAAAGTAGTTAAGAAGGAGGCAGAGGCCATTCAAGTTTTCGACATGTTGATATTTAGATATCTTAAGTTTGGCCTTAAATAATCAAAAAATAGTTGCTTATTTTGTGTGATGTTTTGGGGAAAACATTTTTAAACGTTTCACAGTTCATAACAGTAGTATTGAGTACTGTAACTTCCCATAGAGTAGGAAGTATGTAGGAAAACGTTTTAAATATTGTTTTTATTTATTAACAGGTGAATACTCAACAAAGAAGGCTAGTGGACTTGGTTTAATTGTAGTTCCTACCGTGATACTAATATTACTTCAGTACTCTGTGTTTATGATAGGTGAGTATTTGTTCTGGCATGATTTTTCCCACCTTTTTAATTTAAAAAACAGCATTTTTGATTAAAATTGTCTTGTAAAGTTTTTATAATACAATAAAAGTTGGTTTATTAAAATATTTCTCAAACTATTCTTAGTGACATTTTAAGGTTATATTAGGTTTTCAAGATATTTAGTAAAAAATGATTTTCATGCACATATTTAATGCCAGTTGGATTTTTAAAATTATGCTATATAATTTCCTAATGATTATCTTTATATTTTTATTTCAGTTTTTTGAAGTTATAAATTGTCTTTTCTCTTCTTTTGCTAAACCTCTCTTTAAAAAAACTAGTTCTACAAAATAAGGTTATAAATCTTAAATAGTGGAAATATGTATGTTATTTTTAGTTATTGGCAAATCTTAATATTGTAGTTTTAAAAGATAGTATAGCTACCCAAACTATAATTGGTAACATTTTTACTGCATTTTAGGAGTAAATCACTATCATATTTTTGTTATTAAAAAATCTGTTTTTTTTTTCTATTTACACATTTAAGTCTTGGTCTTAGAGCCTATCTCTGGGTTGCTGTATATTAGAAAGATATTAATTTGTTATAAAAATACAGATCTGGACACACAATATAGAGATTACAACGTTTACAATGAATGGCATGCTTGCATAATGGTTCTCTCCACCGGAGCAATTTTGTGTGCACATGGTGAAGCCATGCATAATAGCCATTCATATTGTAAAATATGCGAGTGTGGTAAAAGCAGCATTGTTCTAAGATTTTGGGTAAAAACTGCCAGTCCAGCTCAGTTCACTGCAAAAATAAAAGCTGCTGAATGTGTGAATCTGGAGCTGATTACTTGTGTAGAAAGACATGGTTTAGATCACTGGGAAAGCATCTACCATCTGACAAGGAACTCCAGAGTCAGTCTTTGGTTATAGGATATTGCTCTTTTGTACAAAATACAAATCAGAGTGATTGCCTCTTAAACACTCTCAACATGCTTTTTCTTCAAAGCTCCAGCTATTGGGATGTCCTCCTTCAGCATTGCCATATTGATCCTTCAGGTGCTGGGCTTTGTGCTCGCTGTGGTTGGACTAAGACTCTGTATTTCAGGTAAGAGTCACATTCTCTCTAGTCTTTTTACTAGGAATTTCTCTTAGAGCTCTATTTTCTGTCGTTGTCGTGTCCTTCTCCCCTCCCTCCCTCCCTCCCTCCCTCCCTTCCTTCCTCCCTTCCTTCCTGCCTTCCTTCCTTCCTTCCTCCTTTTTCTATATAGACTTTTATTTTTTAGAGCAGTTTTAGTTTCACAGCAAAATTGAGTTCCCATATACCCTACATACTCAAAGCCTCCTCCACTATCAGCATCCCCCACCAGAGTGGCACATTCGTTGCAGTCCATTGAACCAACACTAATATTGAATTATCACCCAAAGTCCATAGTTTACATTAGGGTTCACTCTTGGTAAATTTTGATAAATGTATAATGACATGGATCATAGTCATAGAATATCATAGAGAAAAGTTTCACTGCTTTAAAAATCCTCTGCTCTCTGCTATTCATCCTCCCTACCCTGAAACCCTTGGCAACCACTGATCTTTTCGCTATCTCCATAGTTTTGCATTTTCCGGAATGTCTTTCTTATACTTGGAATCGTATAGTATCTAATTTTTTTGGATTGACTTCTTTCACTTAGTAATATGCATTTAAGGTTCTTCCTTGTCTTTTTGTGGCTTGATAGCTCATTTCTTTATAGCATTGAATAATATTCCATTGTGTGGATATACCACAGTTTGTTTATCCATTCATCTATTTAAGGACATCTTGGTTGCTTTCAGTACATTGGAAAAGTGTTAATTTGTTATAAAATCACAGATCTAGACACAGAATATAGACATACATGTTTTTGTGTGGACATAATTTTTCAGCTTCATTTGGGTAAATACTAAGGAGTGCAATTGCTAGATTGTATGTTAAGACTATATTTAGTTTAGTGACAACTTGCCAAACTGTCTTCCAAAGCAGTTGTACCGTTTTGCATTCCCACCAGCCAATGAATGAACATTTCTGTTGCTCTACATTCTTGCTAGCATTTGATATTGCGAGCTCTTCTTTTTTAATTCTCATTTTGCCCCCACTGAAAACAGTGTTTTCCACATTGCCTTGATAGTTATTGGCTGTATGTGGCTTATGGGCCAAACTGCTATGCTTATATTCATGGGAGAGCTTTTTTAAAATAACCAGGCTCTAATTGGTTGGAGACTTAGGCTTCACTTTTCCATTAGTTTTCCTGTGATAATATACATGTTATGCAAACAATGGCTTTTTTTATTTTAATAATTTGGAGTCATTTCATTAAGTTAATAATGGGTGAACATATATTAATAATTTTTGTTTCTTGATAATTAGAAAAATAATTATTCTCCTTAAAACTTGATATTATTACTGTTAATTGTTGGTTCTTTTAAAAAATTCAGGTATTTCGTGCAAATTTCTGATATAAAATTTCATTTGTTTTTACAGAGTGTATTGCATTGCACAGCCCTCTCCTGATTTCAGGTTTGGGTATTATAGCTCTAGCAGAATTACTTGGATTAGTTTATATGAAATTTATTGGTAAGTTGACCTTATTTTTGTTAGTCTGTGTCAAGAATTTCAAGTATACAATTTGGAAAAAATGCTTTTGGTTGGTTCTCTTACAGCTTATATTGGTAACTAATAAAAAAGGATAGAAATCACGAATTAATGAAAATTTTAGATTATACACTAGCTTAAAAGAAAATAGCTTTATGTTTTAGGATGTATAAACTTAAAACATAAAGAAAATAGCTTTATGTTTTAGGATTTTTAAACTAAGTAAAAGGAGAGCTGGTTGAGGATTCATTTTAATAAATAGAAGAGGATCTTTAATTGGCCCATTGTTTCTATGATAGAACTATTTTACAGAGCCCTATTTGTCATTTGCTCTTCTAGCAGGCTGTTTACAGACCTCGACTGCACTAAGTAGACGGGAATCGAAATTCAAAATCTGGCAGTTTTGTTAATTAAAGGGCAGTATCCTCTGATATTTGACTTTGAAATATTTTTAGTTAAAACTAATATAATAAAAACATTGAGTTTTAAAATTTAGGCTTTTATTACTTTTAAAATCAATTGTTAGTAAGTGTAGAATTAGTTTATTGTTTCTAAACTTTATATTTGCCAATTTTCAATTAACAGGTTTCTATATAAGTTATTTTGATACACATATGGAGGTAGATGCTTTCAATAGTGCCTAAAACTAGTATGTTGTCTGACCTAAGCTAAAGACGTTCCCTACAATCTAGTTTATATGTCTTCTTTAAAAAAAAAAAAAAAAAAACAGAACTCTGGAAATTGTGAGGACTTCCAGTCAAGTTGTCAGAGTAGGTAAATGTTGTGCTTGCCTCTCTCATGACCATATTAGAATTACAGCTAGACTACAGAACAACCATCATTGAGACTCTCTTGAAGTCTAGCTGAACAGAAGCCCTATAACTGAGGACATGCCGAAGTAGCTGCCTCGACACTAGTAGGAGGGGTGGAGTTGCGAAACAGCTGATCTTATACCTGCAAGTGGCAGTCAAAAAATTGGGAGGGATATCTCAGCTGCAGAAGTCTCCCTGGAAGAGTGAGGGGGTCCCAACCCCATACTAGACTCCCCAGAGTTCTAGTGCCAAGGAGAAAAATACACCAACTTCTGGCTGTGAAAACCTGTTGAGATTATGGCTTAGTGAGACTGAGAGCTGCTGAAGTTTCAGGCATTCCTCTTAAAGACCCACCCATAGACTTACTCACTGACGGATACGCTCTTTCTGAGCTCCAGCTCTGGCGCTGCAGCTTGAAAGGTGCCAGGGCAACAAGAGGAGGAACTGAATTATCTAGCTTAAAGATGAGGGCTGGAAGGGCAGCTTTCTCCCAGAGAGAAGTACTGGCAGAATCCATTGTTCCTTTGTGGAGCCCTCCCCGCTCCTGGTGTGCTGATACAGGCAGCCGCCATATCTGAGTCTCCATCAACCTGGCTTACACTGGTCTCCCCGCCCTGGTGATTCCCTGAGTCCCTGCCCAACCCAAGCTACTTCTAGTGGCTTTTCCATACAAACGGCTTGTTTTGGCTCATACTGCAGACTTTCGTAAAACATCTTAAAGATTCACAAAACCCAAATAAGCAGTATCTGACCTTGGCATGCCCCATACCTCTTGCTGAGCAGCCCCAAGCCCAGTCCTAGTGGCAGCTGGCCTCAGTTCATGGCTTGGTTTCTCAAGGCACCTCCAGACTGACACACCCAAAGGGCAGACGGGGCAAGCACCAGAACCCTGCTAAAGTGAATCCTGCTCTGTAGGGTCAGCCCTTGCACAATAGCTCTTCCAGTGTAGTCACTGGCCACTCCTCACAACAAACCAGCCCTAGAGTCAATCCCTTGCATTGACCTGCCAATAGCAACAAAGGCTCAACTACAGTAGGAGGGTACACGCAGCCCATACAAGGGACAAATATGGAGCACCCAGCGTAGGGGACCATAGAGATTCTGCCACTGGGCTCCACAGGACATCTACTATATAAAGCCACTCTACTAAGACCAGGAAACATAGCAGCCTCACCTAATACATAGATACAAACATAGGGAGGTACCAAAATGGGTACTGAAATGAATACCTTGGAGAGAATCAATAGCAGATTAGATGAAGCAGAGGATCAAATCAGTGATTTAGAAGCTAAAGTAGCAGAAAACACCCAATCAGAACAACAAGAAAAAAGAATCCAAAATAATAAGGATATTTTAAGGGGCTTCCGGGACAACATCAAGTGTACCAACATTCACATCAGAGGGTTACCAGAAGGAGAAGAGAAAGCAAGGAATTGGAAACCTATTTGAAAAATAATGATGGAAAACTTCCCTAACCTGGCAAAGAAAATAGACATACAAGCTCAGGAAATGGCAGAGTCCCAAACAAGATGAACCCAAAAAGGCCCATACTAACATACATCATAATTAAAATGTCAAAGGTTAATGATAAAGCAAGAATCTTAAAAGCAGCAGGTGCAAAGCAATCAGGGGGAACCTACAATCAGTTACCTACAAGGAAGCTCCCCTAAGACTGTCAGCCGATTTCTCAACAGAAACTTTGCAGGCCAGAAGGGATTGGCATGAAATATTCAAAGTGATAAAAAGCAAGGACCTACAACCAAGATTACCCAGCAAAGCTATCACTTAGAATTGACAGACAAGAATAAACTAAAGGAGTTCATTAACACCAAACCTGTATTATAAGAAATGTTAAAGGGACTTCTTTAAGAAGAAGAAAGAAAAGACCAAAAATATTAATAAGAAAATGGCAATAACTACGTATCTGTCAACAATTACTTTAAATGTAAATGGATTAAATGCTCAAATGAAAAGATATAAGATTGCTAAATGGATAAGAAAACAAGATCCTTATATATACTACCTACAACAGGCTCACTTCAGATCAGAAGATACACACAGACAAAGTAAAAAGATGAAAAAAGATGTTTCATGAAAATGGAAACAAGAAAAGCTGGGGTAGCAATACTTATGCCAGACAGAATAGACTTTAAAACAGAGGCTATAACAAAAGACAAAGAAGGATCCAGTCATCCCACTTCTGGGTGTTTATCCAAACAAATCCAGAACACTACTTCGAAGGGACACGTGAATCTATATGTTCATTGCAGCATTATTTATAATAGCCCAGGTATGGAGGTAACATGGGTGTCCATCAATGGATGAATAGGTAAAGGAGAGGGTTAGTACATATATACAATGAAATATTACTGCGCCGTAAAAAAGAATGAAATCTTGCCATCTGCAACACCGTGGATGGACCTAGAGGGTATTGTGCTAAGTGGAGGAAGTCAGATAGAGAAAGACAAATGCCATATGATTTCACTTATATGTGGAATCTATAGAACAAAATAAAACAGAAACAAACTCAGATACAGAGAACATTTTGATGGTTGCCAGACTGTTGGGAGGGGAGTAAAAAAGGTGAAGGGATTAAGACGTACCAATTGGTAGTTTCACAGTAGTCATGGGGACGTAAAGTATAGCATAAGGAATATAGTCAATAATATTGTAATAGCTATGTATGGTGTTAGATGAGTATTAGATTTATTGGGGTGATAACTTCGTAAGTTATATAAATGTCTAATTGCTATGTTGTACACCTAAAACTAAAATGTTATATACCAACTGTAATTGAAAAAAGTATTTTAAAATAATTTTTTATTTATGAAGTAAAGCAACTCTTAAACACTTATCAAAATAATCGTTACAAACTAATAGAGTAAAAAAAAATTAGTCTTTCTGCTTTGCTTTAGGCAAATTTTATTTTATGTGTTTCTAAAACTTCATAAAAACCTTGAATTGTTACAGTCGAATAATTTTCCATGTGACCTTGCATGGTATTTCCAAAGAAACATTATCTTTATTTCAGAACTTCAGCTTTTGCTGACTGATTATTGAGTTCAATTCTGTTATATATTCTTTACCTCCTTTTAATAATACTTATTAGATAAACAATTAAAACACAGTACTTCATTAAAATTTGCCCATCTTTAGTTTATGTGTTCATAATGTCAGAGTTATTTCACCAATGAAATTTTCTTAATTCATACCTCATAAGTTCATAAAATACAATTAAGACTTCTAAAGCAGAAGAGTATGTGTTTAGTAGCTGTCACGAGCATCATATTATGAATGTTGATACATATTCTATTTTTGTTGAGTCTTCTAGTCACCATTTGTCTGGTTCTTAAAATGATACTGCTGATTATGTTGCTCCCTATGAATGCCCGAAAACAGTATGTGACCTGCAGTGTCCATACAAAGTGAGGTAGAATTAGGTGTCATTGACCAATAGTCAGCTCTTTGTTCTTTTTTTCTCTCATTATCTGAATCACTCACCCTTTTATGGTCATGCTCCCCCATGCCTCCCACGCGTAACAAAGAATGATGTTCAGTGCAGTTGCCAACAAGTCTGGAGATGCTGACTCAGGTGGAAATAGGCATTGTCTAGCCATCACCCCCTTAATCTTGCTCACCCCTCTTCTCCATTGCTTATATCCCTAAGAAGCCTGTGAAACTGGTATGGTTACAAACATGCTGTTCTCATATTAAAATCAAAGTGAAATTATGAAAAATTACCCCAAGTTATTTTTTATCATAGTTTAACATATAACTAATACCATATGTAAGTTAAGAATTTAGTCTTATTTTATTGACATGTTGAGAATATTCTAAATTAACTTTTCAAATCAACTTATCCAATGCCAGAGTTCAGAGGCACATCTTCCTTCACTTGAAGGGCAAGAAGAGAAAAGGTACAGGAAAGTTGTTCTTTAGATACTCTAGTAGACTGAGAAATGGATGTGTTTTTCTTATATAATCTGGATGTATAAATCTGAGTATATGTAATATTAAGGTTGCAAATTTGAGCATTTGAATCAGCAAGTAAAAATTGTAAATGTTTCCAAAATAACTTTTACTCATTGCAGATACTCTGTTTTGGAAAAGCCTAATGATTGTGTCTTGACTGGAATGCAATAAAATCCTCAGATAGATAGTAAAAAAAATTTTGAAGCTATCTCTTTAAATTAATAAACCTATGAGAAGTTTAATTTTTATCATTTTCATTATTTCCAAGTTTAAATTTGTAGCCTTAATTTTTACTTTAAAAAGTAGGATCTTAACTTTCATTTTTTTTCTAATCTTATTTAACTGTATTGGATTTTTTTTTCCAATGGAAGTATTTAAATTTTATAAAATGAAATTAAGGTGAGAACAATAACAATATGAGAGCACATGGAAGATTAAAAGAAACTAAGTAAACTCAGTAAAATTGGGCTCGTTATATATATGTGGTGTTTATATCCATTCTCTGTAAGAGTCAACATTTGTTTACTTTTTTAAAGCCATTTCCAGTATAAGGGCATATAATTAATTGTGTTTTGACAGATTAACCTACTAGCAGTCAGATACCATATTTACCGTAGCTCGTATATTTTAGACTGACACGGAAAATGATAGATAGATTGATTGATTGATTTTTTAAATTCAGTGATATTTTCTTGCCCTTTGTTGAGGAGAGGTGAATCTGGTATCAACAGAGAAAGTATTCATGGAAATTCAAAACCTAGAAATATATTTATGGCATGTGTCAGGTGTTTCAGAGAGAGAAGAACAAATCAAGAAACGACATTACAAGTAAGAATGCTAAAGGATTGTGGTTTAAAAATATGTAGATATGGCTGTCGATGCCTTAGGCCCATGGTGGCAACAGATAAATCACAATCATTCTTTTTTTCACATAGGTCATATGCTTATTGGAGAGGATTAACTCAAATGAAATTAACTTCTACACTGTTTGATTTTATAATATTAGAGGGATTGCAGTTGACTAAGTGTCCCTTTGAATCGTTATTGTTCTTTATAGATCTCTTTTTCAGAATGGGCTAGGCCAAATGTGTGATATTCCTTCTGCCTGAGCATTGGAACTCAGAAACTATTTTTTAAACAGTATTAGGGTAGAAAAGGAGCTACTTGGCAGTTCTTAATACTAATTCTGATGAATTAATTTCTGAGCTCAAAAATATAACTCTAAAATCTTACCTCTGACTCTTCACATTACCCTCAGAAATTTACATAGCTGTTCAGTTCTCTTCCTAAATAGAGCATAATGCATAGAGAACATGGTTTAGTTGAAGTAAGTTGTATATGCATGTAACAATCATGATGGTGCCTTAAAAAGTTCTGTAATGAAGCCCGGTTTATTTGGAAGGCTGCTAAATGTGAACTCACTCATATTCCCAACCCATTTTCTTCTAAACAGGAAGAAAAGAGCTTTTCTTCCTGTTTGGTTGAAAGACCAAACCACTCTCTGAAGTGCCTCCTGTAAGGGAAATTTACTTTGAAGCCACAAATGACATTAACGGAGATGGCTGTCTCATGAGAGCAGCCACATAACTGGGCATCACAGAGAGTGGAGCAGTAAGTAGTTAAGGAATTGGAAGGACCCCATATGTCTGGAAGGAATGAGTCATCGCATTGCCCTCTTCAGTAACAAGAGTTAGTTAGCCCCTCTGCCAGTTATAGTTACTTAATTCCTCTCTCTGTTGTTCTTTACCTACTAGCCAACCAGCTCCTCTCCTTTATGTCCTTGTTTATGTCTTCCTACTGGCAGCTTTTCTTACCTATAGCTCTAAGCTTTGAGCTCCTCCTTGCTTGCTTTCTCTCCTTGTCACCTTCTTTTACCATCACCAGCTCTCTAGTTTTCTTTCTATTTCTTCCCCTTCAGATATTTCAGTTGGGGAGAGAGACGTTTCAGACCAGTCGGTTGCCATTTTTCTCTGTTTGAGAGAGCCTTATAAGCTTCTGGCTAGCCTGTAGAGTGGCTGCCCTTGGTTTGGGTCTCACCCCATTTCTTGTCAGCTTTGGAAGGTTGGTAGAGTGGGCATGAAGGAGTGGTAGTAAATAAATAGTGTAGAAAACTAGAGCAGTTCTGGGACCTGCATCAATCTGCTAATAAGCAAATCCAGTACCATCATCCAATTCAGAGAACAATGGTGGTGACTGCTCTTACCAGCACCATCACCCTCTTACAGGGTCATTCACAGGATGTTGCTCGTTGATGCTTTTGTATCTGTAGCACTCTGATTCTGTATTTAGGACTGGTGTTAGCTGCTGTAGGTCCTCCTCACTTGGGTTTGTAAGGAAGTTCTCTCTCCTTCACTGCGCAACTAGAGCAGCTCTTTTTCCTTTGATCACTTTTTTCATACCCTATTTTTCTTCATCTTCATTAACCAATCCATTCAGTATAGTGAAGGGTAAGCTAAGAAGGAACACATAAAGAATGGCTTGATTGTAGCTAAAACTAGTGTCAAGAATAGTTCTTTAAACTCAGAGGTATCTGAATATTTTCTTTCATTTGTTAGCTGTCTGGAGCTTTGAAAACTGGAAAGATAGAAGAAGGAAAAAAAAAAGACGGGTACAAAGAACAAGAGCAGTAACGTAAGGGTGGGCAATGTAGTAGAGACAGTGATTGGTTATTGCCACTTTCTTTTTACTTTCTGGCTGGATTGAGTAGGGAAGCGATATAGAGTATGTTTATTATTTGATGTAGGTGTAGTGTTTGCACCATTTTATTCCATCAATTCATATGATCAAGAATGTTCTGTGTTTTTTAGTAGACTATGAAAGCTGAAACTTTCAGTGGAGTTTCAGGCACCTCTAGTTTTAGCCTTGAACATTGTATTTTAAAACTAAACATCATATTGCCTTAACTTCTTTCATTTATTAAATTGATTTTCTTATTTTTCAATTTTTATCAGCTTCCAATCAGAGGACTATACAACCTCCTAGGGTAAGTTAAATTTTCTTAAATGAATTGGTTCTGATCACTTGATGGTTTAGACTGAGGAATGGTAATTGAGATATTGAACCCTTTTGTTGTTTAGTATAACGTCAAATTAAGAGAATATTGAAGTCATTTCATGACCTTTGCGTAAATAAATCTAATTCTATTTTAAACCCTATGTTTGATCATTTAGTAGCATTAGGATAGAATAAGTGATTCCTTAAGATTATTCTAAGTTCTCATGCCCAGAACTGACAAGTTTATGTGTAAGAATAATGGTCATTATCTCTGCTGAAGGCAAGCTGATTCCAATATTTTGTCTCACCCGTTAGGTTCATTTGATGTGAATATACAAAATGATATTTCAGGCCTAAAAAAGAGATTTATATTAAATTTATTTCATTAAAAATAATAATCTATAAATAAATGTAAACATAGTTTTAAAATGTCTGTTCTGTTTATGATTAATTTCTCTCCTTCCCCCATTTTATAAGCATTTTTCTTCAAACTATACTGTAGCTTTTTTTATTTCTTGGATACCTTAATAAGCTGAGGAAATTCCAAGAAAAGGAGTAAAATTAGGAGATAAACTGAGAGGGGTAAATGAAGGGGATAGGGGAAAAAACCTTTATGGTGATAGGAACAAGAGCTACTTTATGGAAATAAGATCTGAAAAGGACTATATTGTACTCATCTTCCTATAAAGGATTTAATGATAGCTCTATTTGGAATGCCAAAAACAAGACTCCTGTGTGGCAAGAAGTGGAGATTACATATACTCTTAAATCTGACAAGCCACAACAGACATGCCTCAAAGGCAAGGAGGGTGGGTGATGTTGTCTACCACAAGTGTTTATTCTGAAAAGATTGGTGGCATAGCTACTTTGGTCAGAAATACAGCAGTTTTAAATACGCCTTTGTTAGGGATAATCCAGCCATTAGACCCTTAAATTCTAACACATTTTCTTTCCCTGCTACTGAGCTCATATTGTATGACTTAATGATTCTGTTTTACTCTCATCTCTTGTTTAACTGTATTATTTATTATGTTGCTATTTATATTTCTACTTTAATAATTTTTTTGAGGAGTTAGGATTGTTCGAACAGAAGCTAGGTGGGGTGGGAAATTCTAAATAGAAGAATATTAAGAGAATAATATAGTTATTATTAAACTATTTGTGTGACTTGGCAAGCTTTGCTTTTTTAACCTCGATTGCCTTGTTTTTAGTCTATAGGATTCACTGTTTTCTATAGTTTAAATGTTAGCATATATAAAATATATTTTGTAGTATAAAAGTACATGAAATAAATTCTATTTTTATGTAAATATATTTTAAATATTTTCCAGAAAGCTGTAGAGGAACCCCTTAATGGTATGTGGTTATTATAAACTTGTATATTTTTCTTGACCCATTACCAGATCATAATTTGAACTAGTCCCAAAAGCAGATAGAATGTTCTTTCTGTGTCTTGGGAAGAACCTAGTGTTTTTTTCTTGTTTTGATCTCTCTTATTTTTTTTTAATTTATCATTTATCAAGAATTGCTTTTTAACAAAAGCAATTATTCTTACCTGTGAGAAAAATGCACTTGTGTGTCTCCCAAGTAGTTGCTTGCACTAGCCAGGTGATACTGGGTCAGGGGACCATTGCCTTTTGATATTGGCCAAGATGAAGTATAGCACCCTCAATAGAGAAGAATCTCAATAAATTTTAATTTCTGATTTATAAATTTGAGAAAGATACAGGCTGCTACCATGGGGTGAGACCAAAACATCTCTCTTTCTCCCTAAATCTAGATCTGTATTCTCAACTAACTTTGTTACCTTTCTGGGGGGTGTGGGTACGATCCACAGAAAGGCACTGGGAATCAAATGCTGTAAAATTAACTTGGATTTATAACTGGGGAATAATTGGCATGATGTTACTGTATATTTGTTTATTTAGAAATGATTTTTAATTGTAGAACTTTACTAACTGCTTGCTTGGCTTGTTACTAATTCTTAGAATTTAAAGAATCAAAAGGAATGATGAATGATGGTAAGTATAAAATTCACCTGCAATTATAGATTGGTTAAAATATGGGCATTGAAAACAAAGAAAATTGCTTCTTGAAAATATGGCTTTTTTTTTAAATAAAAGGGACAATGTCAAATCATAAAGGTTTACATTTGATTTATAAAACAAATCTAATCTGTTAAAATTGCAAAACTAGTAATATAAAAGCTGTAGGGTGTCATTAATCAGACTTTCCAGTCATATTGCTTATAACAAAGAAAAAATACCACTTTGTAAAAAACATTTTTCAGATGTAGTGTCTGGTGACTAACTTTAAAATGGTTTTTCTACATACATAGATAACCCGGCACAAATCTTTATCATCTTGACAGAGGGTTTTTTTGTTTGTTTTGTTTTGTTTTATTTTGTTTTGATGCTCATGCTCGTGATTTTATTGCATTTAACCATAGGCGACTTAATATCTTTGCTTTTCAAGCAAGAACTTTGTTCTAACTTTCTGGGAGAGGATTAAAAAGTGAGAGAGAAAAATGTTCGGTCACGCCAGGTTTTGCTTCTTTTGGGGGGCTCTGGGCTAACAACTTAAATTTTTTATTAAGTATTTTAAACACATGTATTCTTAAAGTTAAATAAGTCAGAGACAGTGAGTGCTATCAGTATTCATTTTGATTTTACCTTAGCATACAATACATCAGTTCTTTTTACGTTTTCATGTGTTTTTATCTTATCAAAAATTTCTTCATACCTTTGGTATTTACAATCATGCCTTGATAATGTGAATAGTACACTTTCTATTTTACTATTTCAAAGTCTGTGACCTACTTGCTCACCTCTATAGCAAAGTGCAGCATTTAACTTAAGAGACTATATTCCCCTGAATACAATTAGTTTTTGCATAAGATTAAAAACGCACTGATTGTGTGTGGATTAAGTTTAAAACAGTGCTTAGGCTGGGTTCAACAAGG